TGTGGAAATAACAAAGCTGTTTGCTGTGCTCTCACACTGTCCGTTCTCATCAGTAAAGCTGATACAAAACTGGCAACAAAACTGTGCATTTTTATAGAAACTAGAGATACCAGTAAAAGCTTTCTTAAAAAGAAAAAAAGAAAAAAAAAAAATCAAACAGAAGCCAGAGAACTTTACCACTATTCACAGCTATAAGATAAAGGAGGAGTTAATCAGATTGAATATTTGAGGAAAATCATGTGAAGCAGACAGGAAAAAACCATCTCTCTGCCCATCACTAGCAGCCCCTCACATCCCTGCTCAGGAACAGCCCCGGCAGCGTTCGCTCAACGGGCGACAAACGTGCACTGGGGAGAAGCATTCCCTTCCTCAAGTATCAGATATTGGGCTACTGCCAGGGACTAAGTATCAGATTAAAGGGATAAATAGTCTGTCCGGTTGTAGTAAGTATGGTCCAAAGATCTCAGCTTCAAATTTATAATATTTACTAATGAATAAATACCATAAAATGGGTATGAAAGTTCTGTTACTGCAAGCGGCTAGAGCCTTTAAGGTTTTTTTAAGTCTGAGGAAGCCACCTCCAAACCTTTTGCTCCTTTATAGTTACTACAATTTATCCTCTGGCCTTCCTGAAGTCGTCTTTGCTTGTAAAACCTACCATATTTCTGCTGATTATACTTTAGTAATCTGTAGCAAGAAGGAAGGTCATCAATATAAACCACAGATACTATATATTTGACATTCCTTCCAGCTGCACTTGCTGACCTGTTCATTTAAAGTACCTACGATCTGTACTAACCTATCTGGGTGAGATGCTCCTTTAATTATTACAAACAGAAAAAAAAACATGTAAGTGTGCACTATGCAGTAAACAAGCACATGCTAGATAAGCACAAGCACATAATTCGAGAGGTGCAGAAGCCAGCAAAGAAAGACTGAGTAACTGCCACGTAAGACAGGCTCTGAAGAGAATTGTTTCATGTTCGGCATCTTTCCCCTTTATACTCAAAAATCAATTAGGTGGTTTTCCAAAATTTGTAAATAGCTTCCAAACAGTGCAAATAATTCCCTGCCTTAAGTATGAATGTCAATGAACTCATTCAAAATCATCTTCAGATGTCAGAAAAGATTAACATATCCTGGCCACAGGAGGGAGGTCAGAAGAAGGCACACGCTTTTAGTCTTTACTCGGGTGGGCACAATCCACAGCCAGCCTAAGTCTATGGGAAAACTCCAGGAAGGGACCCAGCATGGTAAAATTCCACGACAAGTGCTCAAAACACAAGAGACCAGAAACAATCTGGGATCAATATCTTCCAGGTCATTAATCCTAGGCAGGTGACATCCAACGCACAGTTCACTACTCTCTTTCACGCACACACTGAAGAAACCTGACTCGATTGGCATCTAGTAGCTTTAAGTATTTCCCATGTTTTGCCTTTATCGTTCCCCTATTTGTTTGGCACATGGCTTTCTAGCATCCCATTAATGTCAAACCGTTTAATCGGAATGTAAGCTAAATGCACAGTTTGCTATTTCCTGGATTTCTGTTTGGCGACCAGTGCTTTTTATGAGGAAAATAAAAGCAAAGGTCAGTACGACCAGAAAAGAAAAGTCATCTTCCACAACGGAAGCTTATTTTTCCAGTGAACTGATACAGAAGCCTAATTTAGAAAAAGGTCCTTTAGTGTCATGTTATTATTAGTAGTATCACAAATAAACACAGAAACCAATTCACTTTACAGACCTCCACATTAAGCATTCAATAGAAAATCCCTTGGTGTTTTATTGATTTTTGTTTTATCGATTTTTTTAAATAGCAATATCACAGTTAAAATGTATCATTTTGGTGAAACACGTCTAAAACTTTTCCCTCTCGAAATAAGTTATTACAAATTATTTCCACAGCAACTGGCAACTAACAATTCAATCCATTTACAGAACAACAAAGTAATGGCTTTATTTGGATGCCTTTTTTGATTAAATAACGTATTAACCTTGATGAAGCTTTCCAAAAAGGGATTAGCGTATTCGAGTGCATCAGCTGATTATGAGACAAATATAACAGTGATAAGATGCTGGTTCAAAATTTTTGAATCTGATGAGTGTAACAATTTAACCACTGTCATGGAGTTGGCTCTTACAGCTTCCATCTCAACAGTAAGTGTACACCCAGGATACAAAAGGCATCACCCAGCTAAAGTATGCAGTGACTGAGAGTCTGGAAAGGTCGCTTAAATCACTAAGCCAAGTAGATCAAAATATCCTGCGTAATTACTGTAATGTCAGAAATAATTAAAAATAATTAATTTGTAAGGAAAGAAGAATCAGAATGAAATGTATTGGAAGGGAAACCCAGAAAGTAAATACATTTTTCTCTGCTGATGATAGCATCCACTTTGACCAAAACTCACTGACCCACTTTGCTTTATTCGTCTATACTGTAATAATACATTTTGCATACCTATTGTATATCCTTTCCATTAAGTTATTTGCTTAATGGATGTATAAATAAATCTACTACAATTACGCTTTTTAAGGGTCAAATCCTATCCACTTCTGAACCCACTACTGCAATTTCTCCTACGCTGTCTGGTAACACAGCAGACCTCAGAAACAGCTGAAACACGGCCGATTCTGTGCTGTTGACATAATCAACCCATGTTACAACCAGCCTGCCAAACCCTTTTATAGACCTGCCAAGTCCAGGAATCGGTGTCCCCGTGCTCCTCCCCGCCCCCCCCCCCCCCCCAAAAAAAAAAGTTTCTCTATTTTTTAATTTCACATGTTCAAATTAAATTCACACAGTATGACCGTAGCAAAATAAAGCTTCCATCAGTTTATTTTAAGGACCAAACCTTGGAACTCGTGCAGAGTTGTTACAAGTTACATGCCACACACACAAACAAACAAACAAACAACAACAACAAAAAAAAAAAAAAAAACGCAAAAAAAAAAAATCGCCTGTGAGCACCTATTAATATTCATGTTGATTCCACATGAAACAACAGCAGAGTTACCCGAGGAGCTACAGTTATGTCAGCGCTTGGAAGTTATTCCAGGCTGTTTTGTCCTGCTGCCCTGAATATTCAGGAACTTCAACAATCCATCTAGCGACAGCAAGTGCAGAGTAAGTTGCTCTCGCCCTACGCTAATGAGTCCCAACTCCCACCCCCAGCCACCTCAGGCAGGGGGGAAGGAGGGATGTGTGTGTGTGTGTGTGTCCCCCGCCACCGGGGAAGGGAAGGAGCACGGCATCGCACGGGGTTAAACTCCCCACGTGTTGGCTGTTGCTGCACCTTGAATTCTGACAATAGGAAAGTGAAACGATGCCGGTCTGTTCGTTTGCGTATACTGAAAGCAGCGTCGGGACTCTGCCCTACGACCTCCTCCGCGGCGAGCCTCCGCGCCGTGGGCAGTTCCCACCGCCCCGCCCGAGGCTGGGGGAGCCCCCGGGAACGGGAGGCGCTTGCGATCGCTCTGATCTCGGGGTCACGGCAGCTATGCGATCCCTTCTCCTTATCGAGCGGATTCAGCCCTGTAACCTACAGACTGAGATAACCGCCCCACGCTTTCGCCCTCAGCTGCGAAGCAGGCGGCTATTGCAGCAGGAATTTCCTCTTTCGCCAGATCCCTCTTCCCCCCCCCCCCCCCCCCCCCCCCGCGCCCTCCTCGGTTGCACCAAGTTTGGGGCTTCGCCTCTCCTGGGCGGCACCCCCCCCCCAGCCCCCCCCCCCCCCCCCCCAACCCGCGGAGGGAGCGCGCAGAGGCGCGCGGCGTTTCCCGCCTCACCGCTCGCATCCGGAGCGCTTCTCTCCCGCCCCCGGCGCCCATCCCCGCCACCGCGCCCGCGTTATTCTGCGCGGTAACGTGATTCGGCCTCCCCAAATCCCTTCCGCGCTCCCGGCTGATCCCCGTCGCCTCCTCCCCGGCCGGCGGGGGCCGGGAGCTGCTCGCACCTGCTCCTCGAGGACCGAAACCGGCCTCCCCCCCCCCCGCCCCCCCAACACCACCCCCCCTGCCCCGGGGGAGCTGGCCAGCCCGGCCGCCTGGCACCTCTCCCCGCTACCCCAAAGCAAAGCAGCCGCCGCCACTACCACCTCCTCCTCCTCCTCCACCTCGCCGTCTTCCCGCCCTCCCTCCACACCCCACAACATCCCCCCCCCCCCCCCCCCCCCCGTTCGCCATGTGGCAACTGCCTCATAGACCTATACAAAAAGTGCACGTGCCCCTTCGGATATATGACAGCAGCTGATGGCCAAGTGGCCTCCACCCCCCCCACCCCCCCCCCCCCGATAGAGCCCTCCGCCCGGGAGGCAGCCCCGCGCCTCATCCCATTCATGCGAACACCGAGTATCTGTGTGTCGCCGTGTCCCCCGTCTGCCCCCCCCCCCCCCCCCCCACCCTACAGGACCATTCCCCGCCCACTCCTGTGCACCCTCCGGGCAGCTTTTTCCCAGGGTTGCCCGTTTTAAAGATACATCCAAGGATAAACTTGCGGGGGGGGGGATGCGTGTCGGTCAGAAAGCACTTTTTGGCTACCGCTCCCCCCCCTTTCTGCGTAAGCAGCGCGCTGCGCTACCCGTGGCCGCCCCGAGCCCCCGGCACGCCTCGGCCGGGGGGTAGAGAAGGGGACAAGGACAGGGCGACACTTGCACGGCACATGGGGGGGGGGGGGGAACCAGAAACAACCCCCCACACACACCTTTCTCCTCCCTCTCTCCCTCCGTCCCACCAAGAAGCGGCGCAGCCGGTTGCGGAGGAGGCCGCCGGGGTAGCGATGGAGAGGCGGGGTAGGGGGGGGCGAGCGCATGTGGCCGCAGGGCGCAGGCCGACCCCCCCCCCCGTCCCCCCGGGCCCGCGCAGGGGCAGCGGGAAGCGGCGCAACGCTCGCCCGGGCCGCACCGCGCGGGGGTGGGACGGGGGCGGCGGCGTGGGCTGGGGGGGGTGGGGGGGGGGGGGGGGTGTCGTGGGGTGTGCGTGTGCCTTGCGGCGGTTACCTGGCGTTGGTGCAGTCGTTGTAGAGGGTCTCGAAATCCTTCCTGGAGATGAGTTTGCAGCGGTTGACCCCAGGCTGGATGGCCCCCAGACCCCTCAGGATGCGGACCTGCTCCACGTTGCAGACCACGGGCGTGATCTCCAGCCGCTTCAGCTTGGTGTAGACCGTGTGCAAGCCCCCCACCAAGTGCTTCAGGAAGAGGTCGAAAGCCTGGGGCAGGCAGATGAGCTCGCAGCCCTCCACGGTGAAGGAGGCCACTTTGGCCCCCCTCAGATCCACCATCTTGCACTCGTTATTCTGGGGGGTGTTCTCCACCGGGGACGGGGTCGAGTACACGGGCTTGCCGGGCAGGCTGCTGGCCGCGCTGGCCGCGCTGGCATTGGGAGTGGAGGTGCCGCCGCTGCCGCCGCCGCCGCCGCCGCCGCCGCCGCTGCCGCTGCCGCCGCCGCCGCCGCCGGTGCCCAGGCTGGGGCTGCCGCCGCCGCCGCTGCCGCCGCCGCTGCCGCCGCCGCCGCTGCCGTTACCGCCGCCGCCGCTGGTGGTGGAGGTGACTGTGGCCGCCGCTGCCGCCGCCGCCGCCGCCGCCGCCGCCGCTGCCGCCGCTGCGATGGGCTCCGGCCGGAATAGGTTTGTCCCCGAAGCAGCCGGCGGGGGAGCGATGGACGGAGACGGAGAGGAGGTGGCCGACGAGGAGGTGGTGGTGGTGGTGGTGCAGGCGGCAGAAGTTGAGACCGGAGGCTGAGGGGGGACCAGCTGGGTCGGAGGGATCAAAGCAGCCGGTACGGCCATGGTCACATATACGGCGGAGGGGGCAGGGGGAGGGGGGAAAAGTTCCCACACACACACGCAGGGGAAAGGGGAAAATTACCAAAAAAAAAAAAAAAAAAAAATCAGGAAAGAAAAAAAAAAAAAAAAAAAGGAAAGGAGAGAAGGGAGGAGGGGGGGAGAAGAAGGGGGGGATAACCCCGGATCAGGTGCTGCGGCGAGCGAGAGAGCAGGGGGCAGAGTGAGAGAGAGAACGCACAAAGTGTCCCGCAAGTGGGGACGGAGGAGGAGGAGGAGGAGGAGAAGTCCGCTCCGGGCGGCGGGGCTGGGGCCGAGGGGAGGGGGAGGGCAGTTTCTTTTTGTGGTCCTTGGTCTAGCACCACGTTAAAGAGGAAGGTGAAAAGGAGGAGGTTTGAAGGACTTCGGTTCTCTCTGGCAAGTACATTGATCAAAGATTGAGAGGGGAATGACAGAGAGAAAATGAGCTGGGAAGTGCTGGCTGCCGCCGCCGCCGCTCGCTCGCTCGCTGGACGAGTTGTTGTTGTCACACGGTGCGGAGGGGAGGAGCTCCGGCAACTTGAAATACCCTTTGAAGCAGCAAAAGGCTCACTCACTAGTATTAACCCAAATTATCCAACCAGGAGCCCGGAGCAGGAAAACAGAGAGCGAGAGGGAGAGAAGTCCCTCTCTCCCCCCCCTTTCAACCCCCCACCCTTTCAGGAACCGTTAGATTACATGTTTCATATTTCACCCCACCAGAGACGAGATGTAATTTTCCCAGCCCTTTTCAGCAGTCGCTTGTCAACACAGTTTGTGGAGAAACACGATCGTCTCCAGCGTTCCCCCCCGAAGCCGGGGGATGGGATTGGGGGGGGGGGGGGGGGGGGGGGGAAGCGGGGGGCGCGGGGCGGGCGCTGGGCGCACACCTTGCCGGGGCTGGGGCGGGGGCACCCGCGGACAAAAGCAGAAACCTCCGGGCGGGTGCGTTGCTTTTGGGTGGCGGCGGTGGTGGTTGTACTCCCGGGACCACAAACGCTCCTCCCGGCGGGGTGGGGGTTGTTGTTGAGGGTCCGGCGGCAGCGCCAAGGCCCCCTTTTGTTGCGCGGGGGGGCGGTGGCTGCGCGGGGGGGGGGGGGGGGGGGGGGGCGCGCAAGGGCAGCATCCCGCGGGGGACGTTCCCTGCGAGCGGCCGCGGATCAAAGGGCACCAGCGGGGCTGGCGGGTCACGCCGTGGGGAAACCGCGCCGAGGGGGGCTGCGGGCGGCACTCGAAGTAACTTTGGAGAGGGGGGAAAGCGGCCGGCCCGCCCCGCCCCGCGCGGGTACCGCCGCGCAACAGGTGGCGGCTCCGCGCAAAAACCGCGCAGCGGCGTGTCGGGACACACACAGGCCCCCCCCCCCCCCCCCCCCCCCCCCCCCAAAGCGCCAGGTAGCGCGGAAAGTCAGCTGCTGCGCTTGCCCACGCATGCGCAGTGGCGCAGCCGGCAGGACGCGCCGCGCCTCCCGTGGCGTGGCGTGGCCGTGCGCGGCGTGGGAGCTGCCTGCCGCCGAAGTTGGGGATGGAGTCTTGAGGCGCGTGTGGCAGCACGCGTGCGTGGGGTGTTCGGGACAGCTGGGAGCTTTGTTCTGCTTGTCGTGAGGGCACTTGGCTTTTTTTTTTTTTTTTTTTTTTTTTTTAAAGGGGTAAAGAAGTGGCCGTTCGTGCAGATGGGGGTGGAGGGGTGGGGGGGTGTGTCTGCAAAAATAGGGTTTGGTGAGTACGTAGGTCTTGCAGTTTTAAAAATATACACTGTGTACTTAATTAATTGTGGTGCATGTATGTGCCCATAGCTTTTTTTTTTTTTTTTTAATGTATACTATAATGTGAAATATGACTCATGAGATGACACATCTACAGAGTGGATAATCTCAACTGTAGTAATTCAGTGCAGGGGAATTTCCATATTATCAGATATAAAATATTCTCATATAATCTACTTGCTTATTGCACTTTAAGTTCAATCTATGGGAATTTGTGTTTTATACCGGTAAAGATGTCCTTTGCTGATGAAATTTTGGATATCCTGCACTAAAGTCTTTAAAGTTGGCAAATAAAACCAAGAAAATACAAAGTGTCATTTTGTTTTGAAGTGTTGTGCAGAACACTTCTGCAAGCTGTTTTTAGGTGGTTTTCAGAACGTTTACCTGGAGGAGCTTGTACAACTTGAGTTCCAGTGGCGGGATCTAGTGTTGCATAAAACTTGCAATTTAAAACTGTAAATACACTGCATCTGTCTTTTTTTTCAGTTGTAGAAAATTAACTCTGTCCATATTTTCTTTGCCTCAACTATCACCTTCTCTTATACCCTGTGAAGGTAGGACAGGTCCTTGAGAACATCAGGACAGAGCCAGGCACGTGCGATGTTGCCACTTGGAGATCTGAGTGAATTCTGAATTAGGAAACCCACCATTTCATTTGTTCTCTACCTTCCCTGTGATGCACGCCAGCCCTTATGCTTTTCTTCTTGCTGTGTACCCTTCTGGATATATAATCCTCATGGTTCAAAACCGTATAAAGAAATTGTAGTTTGAAAGGATTTACTGCCACAGGTTTGAGTTAATCTTGGTCATTTCAATGCAACAATGGGGTTAGAAACCTAGAAAGAAAGAGTTTTATGGAAAGGTTCAAGACTCCTCTTGGTAAGTGTTTCTTGGTAAGTGTTGGCTTGGTAAATGTTTCTAATGGTTGTGGGCAGTGACTGGATTTACTTTAACTCACACATATGCTCACACACTCAGATAAACACACCAACAAATCCTGAGGTTGCTCTTTGTAAACTTTTTTAGATTGCATTTCTTTTACTCGCCGATCCTTTTATGTAATGACATTGTTGGGCGTTTTCTTTTTTTTCTCCCTGAGTTGATATCAGCAAAACTCAAATTACTGTAACTGATATTTGAAAATTCTCCCTGTGTCAAGTGAAGACTTATGGTGCTGAAATCAATAAGACTGTTTAAAATTCAAAGACCTGCAAATCGTTCTGTTTGTCCTTTGATAGGGCCTGGGCTGATTAAAATGCGACCAAGAAAGCTTAATTGCTGCGCTAATTAAGAAGTCTTTAATTTCTTTCCTGGAATATTGTTTGAAGCACGGTTTCTGTTCTGTTCATGTAACTGTTCAGGGCAGGTATTCTCTCTGTTTCTCTGCCTCTCCATTTTTTTTTTTTTTTTTTTTGCTTTTGACCATTTTGTTATATTAAAATGTATGTTAAAGCAGTAAAACATATTGACAGTGATTGTAATTTATTGCTCTAAAAAAAGACTGATACGGAGTTCACTGTTTTATTAGATTACAATTTTGAGGGCAGCTGTAAAGGCTAAAATGCAATTAGAAAATGCATTGTTGCTGTTGCATTTTAAGGAATCTGAATACCTGACTGACAGGGGATAGGATAGTACATCAGCTCCCTCCCCCTTCTTCTGTTATTATTGATAATTAAATATTTAAATTCATTCAGAAAAAAAAACAGAAAAGTATTTATCTTCTGAACGTGTGTGAAGGAATGGACCGAGGGGGAGGGGAAGCATACAGAAGATAGGCACCTGGTAAGGATGAATAGCGTATTAACGTGTTAACTTCATCCACAGTATATTTTTCTGCATTTCTTTTGAATTTATTTTCCTGAGAAGCACCTTTCTGTCTTGTATTTTGCCTTATCCTTGTCTAGTGACCTATTTTGTTCACCAGTTTCTGAAGAGAAGAAACTAAATGATTTCACAAATCTTCCTGTGTGATCAATAGAGTAATGTTTTAGGTTTAATCATGCTGCATTATAATTCTGGCAAACGACTGCTGATCAGAAGATTCTAAGAAAGGAGCAAGTACTGGCAAAGAGAAGGTAAGTTCTGCTTTGCTTTTAATCCCCAGGGTCTCGAGCAGCAATCCTCCTTTCAGGAGCTATCTGTTATTTAGAGGGAAGACTGAGAAAGAGGGAGGGACCTCATACTGAAATCCCCCCTGCATCGCTCAGGAAAACAGACTCATAGAAATGTAAGTCTGTGAATTGGGATCCTTTTTTTTTTTTTTTTTTTTTTTTTTTTTTTTTTCCACCAAGATATTTACTAAACATTGAAAACAAGATGAATGCAGTTGAGACTGGTGTGAAGTGTTGTACCAGTAATAAGAAACTGGATACTGCAGTGCTGTTTTTCTAATTGTTGCATTATAGTCAAACTAGCACAGACCTTGTCCAATACAAATACAAACTGGATTCCTTTCAGTGACAGGACAAGAAGATAACATGCTTAATAGATACAAAGGGAGTTTTACCATTCCAAGCACGGCATCACGCTAATTATGTTTACTCTAATTGAAAGCAAGGTTTTGGGCAACCTGAAATTACTCATAGGATATTTTTAATAACTGGATAATAATAAAGTGCAGCAAACGTTGATCACAAACCTTTTGGTCTTTCAAAAATCTATTGGAAAATTAAATGAAAAGTGGAGTTTGGTACAAACAATGCCCCAGGGCAAAAAACAACTAACACTAGATTTTCCAGTCCAGCCATAACACAAATCAATTTGAGCACACTTCTATGGCCAGACTGCCAGATTGTTATGACTGCTAATTCACTCAATCAAACAGTGCATTAGCACACCCGGCACAAACAGCTTTAACAATAGCATACACTTCTGAACAGTCCACCATATATCATAAAAAGTCCAGAATACATGGCAAGATTGATCTCACGTTCTGTTTACTGCAATTTGTATTTACGTATGGTGCCTGCTTACAAAAAAAAAAAAAAAAAAAAAAAAAAAGTGATGGAAGAATGGAAGCGAAGAAACTTCAGGAGCCATTAAAAATAACTTTTAAAGTCTTTAAAAACGGGAATCTGGGGGCCAGTGATCACCTGGGGTGATTGTTTAACGTGCATCTCTGAGATGGAGAGTTGAAAGCGGTGGCTGCACATCCCCAGCAAGGGCTGGAAGAGGGATTGTGCGGGGCTTGGCCGCTCGCACACGCCCAGCCTAACCCAGCGCCGGAGCATCTTTTGCCGGCTTTCCTCCCGCGACTCGTCTCACTGGCTCCGGGGGTGCTCACCGCCTGAGTACA